AAAAAATTCGCGGAGTTTTTAAATGAGTTTGATTATGATGGAAAAATGAATAAAAATGATGTTATAAATTTCTTATATCCCACATCTAAAGAAGAAAAACCTAAAGAACCTGATGTTTTCCCTGAATATTATGAAGAACGGATTAAAGATGATGAATATGATGAAATTGAAAGACTGGAAAAAATAAGAGATGAAATAGATGAAAAAATTAAGGAATTAAGAGAAGTTGAAAAATATAATGAGAATGAAGTAGAGGGTTTAATGAATATCCCAGCTTCAGAATCAGAAGTTCAAAAATCACATGAGGAAAGATATAAAAATTACTTTTTGGAATCTACTAAAAATTTATTAGATGGTGATATTGACGAAACACTTTCAGAAGAAGGCACAAAATTTATTCATAAACATAAGCTTCAGTTTATTGACGATGGAGATTATCCATGTATATTACTTTCACCTCCTCTTGATTCTGAAAAATTCAAAAAAGCATTGAAAAATGTAACATATGCAACAAATACGATTAAGAAAGAAGACCATGATATTTACACAAATTATTATTTAAATAAATGTACAGGTGTTGATAAAGTTTTTGATTTATTAGATAAAATATCAAAAGAAACCATTGGAACCTATAAAATTTTATGCGATTGTGGTTTCATTATTGAAGATACCAATAATGTTTCATATGAAAGAACAGCACCGAAGGAAGACGAAGTGGAAAGGTCTATACCATTCGTTATTAAGAACATAAAAGATATGAAAACTTATAAACATTATATTTATTCATTTATTTCAGAAAAAATGGAAGCAACCCATAAAACATCATCTCATCATTTTATAGCTATTCATACATTCCTTTTCAAAGTTGTGAAATTAAATAAGACAGGAATTAGATTTAATGTATCAGGGTACGCATTCTTGAGTAAATTAAAATGTATTCGTCACGTCGCAGATGATAAAAATTTATGTGTTCTTAATTCATTTTATGGACTTTAGCCCTGGACTCTCTGAGTCTCGGACTTTAAAAAAATAAACTTTATTTTTATTTATTTTTTAATTTTTATTCTTACATAAATGAAAAAAATGGAACAGCTAAAATGAATGATAATCAAATAAGAGCAGAAGGTAGAAGGTTATTTAAACGCTTCTATAACATTCCTGATGGTGTTAATCCTAAAACTCGTAGAAGCTATTTAAATGAAGCAATAGATGCATATGAAGGGTTTGACATTTCATCAGAAAGTGAGAGGTTAGCAAGAATGTTAAACGTTAATATTGATTTTTATTATTGTGACCCTCAACCAGAAGACGTAGACATTAACAAGGTAGACTTTCCATTAGTGGAATCAATAATGATAGATCCAGAATTTGAAACAGTAAATATTTTATTAACACAGAGTCCATGTGGAAAACTTCACGCTGATAGAATAACAGACGTTGAAGCACTCACAGGATATAAAGTTTGCCCCTTTTGCAAAGAAGAAGTATATTCTATCCGTGATGATCCAGAAAGGAAAAACCAAAGAAGATTTTTAAAACATTGTGAGAAATGTAAAGAAAATAATGGAAGATTAATTCAAGACGTTCAATTGCAAAACACACAACAACCATATGCACCACATATCACGAAACAGAAGATATATCAATGGCTATTAGCACATAATTTGCAGAAATATTATAAACCAACAAGATATTATATTACTTTTGACTTCGAAACATTAGAGACTAAAGAAGAACTTCAACTTTCTGAATGTGCAACTTTAAACGCTTACTTAAAACCATTTATGGTATCATCAACTGTCAAAATAAAGCCGCAAAGCGGCGAGGTCGTAGACCGTGATAAAACATTTACGAGGAATTTTTGCTTAACATCAAGTGATTCGTTCATCTCTGATTGGATTGAATTTTTATTTTCAACCTGTTCATTAGTTGCTAAATCAAATATTGAACAATATGAAGAATTAATGAAGTCGCAAACATTAAATGAGAAACAAAAGGAAGCAATGAAAGAGCTTTTAGATGAAGAATTTAATAAAGTGAATATCATAGGTTTTAATTCGGGAAAGTTTGATTTAAATTTAATTCTTCGTGATTTAAACACTGCAAAATGGAAAATAAAATCAATGCTGGGTTCATCTTCTCAATTTAAGCAAATCATTGTAAAGAAAACAAACGTTCCATATGAATTGAGATTTATTGACATCAGAAATTATATAGCGGGTGGGACATTAGACCAATTCACTCAAGATTTCGGAAACAATAAATCACGTGTTAAATCCTTTTTCCCTTATCAATTCATCACATGGGAAAATTACGAAGAAGAATTATATAAAGAGGAACCATTCACGAAGATTCATTTTATTCAGCATTAACTCAAGAAACTATATCAGATAGTGATTATCAAATATATCTCAATGATGCTAAAAATTTTAAGAATAGATTAGAATATTTTATTCATTATTGCAATAAAGATGTTGAAATTATGATTGACCCAATTGATAAAATTATTGAAGAAACATTTGTTTATAAAATTGACATGCTTCATAATCTTTCTTTATCATCGAATGCATCAATGATTCGTTACGCTTTAGCATATAAAGACTTTAATCCTAACGAAACATATCCAGAAGAAGAAAATGTGGAATCAAGTTTTGAATTAACGAAAAAGTATTGGAAATATAAAATTGAATCATATAAGAAACAAGATGAAAAAGCAGAAAGGGATACTAAAAATAATGTTTCAATGGATGATTTTCAATACTATCACGATTTAATCCTTTCATCTAAATGCAAAATGTGTGGTAAAGCGTTTACATATGCAAATAAACCAACATTGGATAGAATCGATAATGAAAAACCACATACCAAAGAAAATTGTCAGTTAATGTGTTGTTATTGCAATGTCGTAAAATCAAATAAAGATGAAGATGTTCAACGTTTAAGAATCAATTTAAGAAATTATGCATTAAAAAATAATTTACCAATGACTTTAGATTCAGTTGAAGCTTATCACATTCTCCGTAATGGAATTACTGGTGGTCTATCAAATGTTCAACATAGAGTAAATCTTAAAGGAATCACGCACATTAATAAACTTTCATATAGTCCAGAAACTAAAACTGTATCAAATGAGGACACACCAACATTATGACTCATTTCGTTGGTGTTGATTTTAATTCATTATATCCTTCATCATTTTCATCTAATCCTCATGATTTCATTCAATATACTGACCATAAAATGTATATTGCCGGGAAGATTGAATGGTGTTATCATTTGTGATACAGCAACAAAGAAAGCAAAAGCACTGGGAATAATTAAGAAGAAAAAACTTTATTCGTGGCTGAAGTAAAGGGTCACATTGATGAAAAATACATTAATGATTACATAAACTTTTTACCGATAATAAGAAACTTAGATATTATCACAGATGAAAAAACAATTGGCAGTTTTATGTATAATTACATGAAATCAAACAATCTACCAGTTGACCAGAAACAGAGGAAATTAACTCAGTTAGCATCAACACACAACCAATATCAACCATTTTCTTCTTATTATCTTTGGTATCTAATAGACAGATTTCATTTTATCATTGATGACATTCAATCAATTTTTAACATTTACGAAAAATACTTGTTTTAATGAATTTGCGAACGAATTTATGAACGAAAGACAAAAGGCTGAATTAGAAGGAAATAAAGGAAAAAGTTTATTTTGCAAGATTTCACTTAATGGATCATATGGTTACGATGCAATGAATACACAAAATTACGCAAAGACTAAAATAATGAATGCACAGAAGGCACGCGTTGCATGTATGTCAAATAAGTTTAAAAACATAAGAGAAATAGGTGAAGATACATATCAAGTGATGCTTAAAGATAGATTTTATAGATGTGATACATGTTTACAAGAGGCATTCTTCACTTTAGATAACGCAAATACTGGTATTTGGTTTTCATTTATGATTTTATGTATAAATGCATGATGTTAATCGTTTTCATTTCATTGAAGGTGATACTGATTCATCTTATTGGGCTATTGCTGGCGATCCAAGTCTTCCTAACACTCAAGCATTTCAGGCGATTGTAACCGATAAACAATTTTATGATAAAAACATTTTCAAATTCGCACCTTTTGATTTCTTCTGTTTTGATGAGAAATTTAAACCTAAATTAAAGAATAAAGCTGAAGAAAAAGCACATGAGAAAAAATTATTGGGTTTAGCAATTGAGAAACAAGGTGATAACATGGTTGCTTTATGCCCTAAGTGTTATACTTCATTCAACGGTTCAATTGATGGAGGTGATTTTAAAAAGATTGCACAAAAAATGAAAGGTGTTAGTTTACGACAAAATAAACAATTAACACCTAAAAAATATTTGGATATAATAAATGATAAAGTTATTTTCGATGGTCAGAATATTAATTTACAACTTAAAAACGGGTCAATGACTCGCTTAACAATTGGTAAGACTGCATTAACAGGAGCACACACTAAGGCTGTATGTTGTGAAAATGGATGTTGTATGCCATTTATTTAATGAAATGCCACAGAAGAGACAAAAGGAACCGTTAATAATGGTTTTGATACTATGATTCAAAGAGGTGGGCACCCTTAAAACATTTATTTTATTTTTATATAAATGGATAACACAGATTTAAAAATTTTAATTGATGATTTAGTATTTTATCAAAATTTTCTTGATTATTATGATTTAAAAGCATATCTCCAAAAATATAATAAAAATATAACGGGTGATGATATGGATTATTATTATTATCCATATTATAAAAATGAAATTTTGAAATATCATGATAAAATAATTTCTAAAATTAAAGACAAAATTAAAAATAATGAATATACAAAGGGAAAAACTAAATCACAGCTTAAACAGTTGAAAGATTTCAAAAATAAAGTATTAACAGAAGAAGATATTGATGAATTATATAAATTATATAATCCCGAGCCGCAAAAGCCAAAGGAACAAAAACAAATGGTACAAAACGCCCAGGTCCTTCAGACCATAAATGATGCACAAGCTTTAATTTATGATTCATTAGTTAAACCATATTCAGCCCGACTTTTAAATGAAGATCAACTTTTGGAATTCATCCTTCAACATAAACTCGAAGCGGGAAAGTATATCAAACCTTTATATACAGCATATTTAAAACAAATGAATAGAATACATCCAGAATTAATGAAGGAAGGAATGAAATCCAAAATCAAAGCAGATAAAATTAAACCACTTGCAACACCAAAACCTCCAACGACAGTAGTACCTCCTCCTTCAGTTAATCCTTCATCATTCACTTTATTATATCCATTTCAAACATTAAAGAAGCAAAAAGATTTTAAAAAGGATTTCAAGATATTAAATAAACCAATTGACCCAAAAATTCAACCGTTAAAGGAAAAATTTAGTCGCCCTTCATTTGCACTATATCCATATTCATACGAAATCGATCATCTGGAATATTCAAAAGGAAACGTTACTTATTTATTTGCCATTAACATTAACACTAGATATTTATATTGCATTCCGGTGAAAGGAAAACAGAACAGGAAACAAGAAGAGCTATACAATACTTACTAGATCATGAAAGAGTAGATAATATCAGGGGTGATGGTGATAAAGGATTTCAGGCAGCTATGGCTCATTATTTCCCACAAATTAATTTTACTTTTCATCCTCTCCATATACGTTTCATAATAAAATAGTTGATGCGGTAATGAGAACTCTTAGAGATGCGTTAGGGGTTAACGGTCAGATATACTGGGATGGAAATCATGACTCCATCATACAACAGTTAGTATATTATTACAATAATACATGGCATAGAACTATAAACATGAAACCGGTGGAAATGAAAAATGATATTTCAAAAGAATGGGAATATATTAGAAAGCAAATGAAAGGTTAAATGATGTTTAAACGTGAACAAATTAATTCGGGGCTCATGAATTTTAAACAAGGAAATAAAGTTTTAATTCATCTCGATTATGGAAAAACTGATAAATCAATGACAAAAAGAAGACGAAGATTTGACACAATAGCTGAATTTGTTAGATAATTAACGGCAATGCATTAGTTGAAGTTGACAATAAATTAATAGAAATTCCGATTTATTTTATTACTCCATTATATTTAAATAATATTTAATTTTTTTTATTTCGTAAGAAATGAGTGACAACGAAGCAGTCAAGAGTCCAGACAATGAATATAAAAAGAAACTAAACAGAATTAAATCAAAAATATACTATTACAAAAAGAAGTCGCAATGTGGTGGGGTTGAAAACGATAAAGAAATAATCGAAAAATTAGAAACTTACCGTTCAATCATTAAACTGAGTGAAGCAAAAATAAAAGAATTTAATAGAATAAATAAATTGATTGGAAGAGATGAATTTAATAAAGATGAATTTTTAAACTCAATCCAAATTTAATTTTTATTCCTCTTCGACAACATCTCTCTTTCCATCATTACTGCATAACCACATTTTCTCAATTTTAGTGGTTTGTTATTTTTAACATGTTCTTGCATTATTTTTATCATTTCCTCCCTTGTTATGATTCGTGGTAAATTTTGAGCTTGTGGGGTATTCATTTATGATAAAAATAAAAATTTGTTATCAGTTATTTTATCGTTAATGTTTTTAGGTTATTCAATAATTAATTATTTTTGAAGAACTGAAGGGGTCACCAGGTCACCAGGTGGTCACCAGGTAATTTAACTTCTCTGAAAAAATGAGACAACATGACATTTTGACAACAACATAGGAGGAAGGCAGTTATGACTTATTTTTGAATAACTGAAGGTGCTACCATGTTACCATGTGCTACCAGGTAATTTAACTTCTCTGAAAAAATGAGACAACATGACATTTTGACAACAACATCGTGGGTTATTCAATAATTATTTATTTTTGAAGAACTGAAGGTGTTACCATGTTACCATGTGCTACCAGGTTAATTAACTTCTCTGAAAAAATGAGACAACATGACATTTTGACAACAACACAGGAAATAAATGTTTACGTTTATGTTTACGTTAATGGTTTCATAAATGTTTTCATGAATTTTATATATTAATGTTTTCATTAATGTTTTCATGAATTTTATATATTAATGTTTACGTTAATGTTTTCAGGTCATTCAATAATTAATTATTTTTGAAGAACTGAAGGTGTTACCATGTTACCATGTGCTACCAGGTTAATTAACTTCTCTGAAAAAATGAGACAACATGACATTTTGACAACATTTACGAAAATTTGATGCAGCCCAAAAATAAAGTTAGTTTTAAAACTATATCAAAAGGAATATTATGATGAATACGTTTTACCTTTATTACGTAAGCCAAAAATAACATTTGATATAAAACTTGACGACTCGTTTTTGATAACAGATATTAGACGCAAGGCTGAAAATCATCAGTATAAAAACAGTTCTGAAGTAATTGAGGATTTATCACGTGTAATCCGTTTTGTAGATTGTGGAAATAAATATTTCATTCAAAAGGACTATAATATCCACGACAAAATGAATCAAATATCATTCGTTCTTCAATCAAACATGAAAGAGTCACTCAAAATGATTAAATTATTTAAAGAAGAAGGTAAAACAATAACAGCATGGGATGTACTACTAAATCAATTATCCTCATTAACCGTTAAGGGTGTTTGCTTTAAATCTGATTCCCCCGATGTTTTCTCAACGTTTCAAGGTTATAAATACAACATTCTTGAAAAGCCTGATTACTCAAAAATTGAGATGTTTATGAATTTCATTAAAGAAGCCATTGTGTGATAATAACGATGAAGTGTATAAATACCTTCTCAGCTGGATTGCATCAATGATTCAACATCCTGGAATCAAGAATGAAACAGCAATTATTTTGAAAGGACTTCAGGGAACAGGTAAAAACAGATTCACAGACATTATTTCTGAACTTCTCGCTGGTTATTCATGTAAAAACATTACCGAAATAGGTGAGCTAACGGGTAATTTCAATTCAGTAGTTGAAAATAAAATGTTTCTTGTACTTAATGAACTCAAGAATGTAGGTGAAGACAGACTTGCAAACTTTAACGCTTTGAAATCAATTATAACGGATAATGAGATTAGAATTAATGAAAAGAATCAACCCAGAAGAACAGCTCAGAATGTTGCAAACTTCATTTTCGTAACTAACAACGTTTACCCTGTCAAAATTGAAGTTGGAGACAGAAGATACGTAGTTTTAAGAGTTAATGGTAAATTCAAGGGTCAATTTGATTACTTCAAGAATTTGATGAATTCATGCACAAAGGAATTTTATGATAACCTTTTAACATATTTTATGCAATATGACCTTTCATCATTTAATGTACGAATCATACCGATGACTGAAGCCAAACAAGATTTAATTGAATTATCAACAAATCCTTTAGATGTATGGATAAATACACATTATGATGAATTGTGTGCAGGTATGACGTGTAAAAATGCTCTATTCTGCAAACCATCAGACATGAAAGACAAGAATTTTCAAATGAGCATTAAGGATAAATGTGAAAGGAAACATAGAAGAATAGATGGTAAACAGACATGGTATTATGTTTTGAAAGAAGAAATGAAAGGATTATATAAACAAATTGAACCAAACGATAATGATGATTCATTTACTGACGATGAAATACCTGTAAATGAAGCTTTATAAAGTATGATTTGAATTTATTTTTGCATTAATCCTGCTGTGTTGTCAAAATGTCATGTTGTCTCATTTTTTCAGAGAAGTTAATTAACCTGGTAGCACATGGTAACATGGTAACACCTTCAGTTCTTCAAAAATAATTAATTATTGAATAACTGGGAAATAAATTTACGTCAAATATGCAATTTATAAAATCTTATGTCGACAGGCTACGTAGCACAGTGGTCTAAGGTGGTGTTATGGGGGTTAGGGTCTGTGGTTCGAACCGCGACAGCGCCGTATTTTCTTATTTTCTTTGTTTGTCTTGTTTGTCGTGAATAAAAAGTGTCATAAAAGTGCTCTATCTTCCACGGGAATAAATAAAAAACTAACTTTATTTCTTCTTTATTTCTTTATTCCCGTGGAAGAAGGGTTTTGCTGTTTTTCTCAGCCGAAATCAATGATTTTTTCATTTTTGGAATCCTTAGCGAATGAGGAATCTTTTCTCTCGTGGAAGCTTTGACCAAAAATTATGTTTAGGTGAAGAGGTGAGATCTCACCTCTTTTTTCACCTAATTTTTCACCTCTTTTTTCACAAGCGTTTTACATGAATTGTACGATGTATATTTGAAATCCTAAACAATTTCGTAGCTTCTATTTCTTCTTTTAGTACATCGAATGTTTTAACAATGCCGAAGGTTTCTTTATATTTCTTCTTGACGTCAGATAGAAGGAAATCGTCAGCAGTTGGATAATTTTTGTTCAGAAATGTCAACATGTCCATTTTATTTTCTGCTGGTTTTTCTGCTTCTTTCTTTAAATCTGCATAGTCGTTTCTCATTCTTTCTATCTCTTTGACGGAGTAGTTATATCTCCTCATTGCTGCTTTACATTTAGAACATTGTGGGTTCATTTTTGCGTTATACATTGAAATTTGACCTGCTAGAACAACTAAGGCGTCAATTGCTCTCTTCATCTCAAACATAGCGGGTCTTAGTTGTTCGTTCCATACTTTGCCTCTTCTATCTTTATCTCTTATTTCCCAAACACATTCAGCAACTAATGAAACAAAGTTATCGTAGGTCTTAAATTCTTCAGATTTATATATGTCAGAAACATTCTTATAAACCATGTCGCAATCTTTGTCCATAACTTTATGGTTGCAATGAAAACCAAGGAATTCATAGTTTACCTTACGAATGAACTTCTTTATTTCTACTGAGTCAGTTGTTTTGACTTCAATTTCGTCGAATTCAGGAATAGTTAGTTTTTGTTGTTGGATTTCAGGTAGTTTAGGTAAATGGTCAATAATGTCCTGCATTTCATAAAGATACTGTTCATTTGTTTCATCTTTCGCACTACAGTCTAAATTACTTGTTAAAAGTTCTTGCTTTATCTTCTGGATTTCTGTTTCAAAAGTATATGAAGAAGGAATGAAGCTTTTCATCTCTACTAACATAGATGTTGGATTCATGACTAAAGAGTTTGGTGCTGTAGTTGTGGACAGAGTCCCGCCGTTCGCGGCTTGTATTGCTGTTGTGCCGATTGTTGAAATCATATCTTTACATACAAAATAAAAAAAAAATAAAAAAAAATAAAACTAACTTTATTTTTTATTTCGGGAAAATTCATGAAAATTCACGAGAAAGCTAAAGCAATCTGAGCCGCTAAGCGGTGAGGGTGAAAAATTAGGTGAAAAAACAGGTGAGATCTCACCTCTTCACCTAAACATTATTTTTGGTGAATTCAATAAAAATAAATGGTTCATTTACTCACAATATTTTTGTACAAAACGACCCCAAACTTTTAACTTCTTTTCTGCAGTTTCTAATGCTATCTTAGCGAGTTCATATTCTCTAAATTCTCTCTTTAAATCTTCTTGTTCCCATTGGTCTAGTTCGTATGGAGAATCTCTATAACCATAACATATCTCACGTTCATGTTCTAATTGTTTTTCGCACATTTTTCTAACTTCTTCTTCAAACAAATGTTTTGCATTCTCTACTGTATCTTCGAGTTCTTCTTCATCTAATTTCTCATGAACTTTCTTGTCTATGGAGTCCATAATATCTTTGACATAAAATGCATACTTTACAGAGCACCATTCAGCAACAAAATGAACGAGGTCAGGATGTATGTAAATACCTTTGAATTCATTTATAACACCCCTAGTAAGCTCATAAAATGCTTGTTTTGAGGTCGAGCCACTTTTGGCTTGACCGTATTCGTTCATCCAAAACTCAAGAATTTCCTGCATTTTCGCACTATTGAGAAATCTGTTTAAATGGTTTAACCTTCCCGCTTCTCTTGCCATCTTTGTTGCATTAATGTAACCATCCTTGTCTCTACGTAAGACTTCAATACCATTATAAGTGCCTTTTGTGAATGTTTCGCCATTAGATTTGTTCGTGAATGTTTTTGCTTCGACTGACATTTCTGTTCTTACATACAAAATAAAAAAAATAAATAAAAATAATTTTAAAACTAACTTTATTTTTGGACTGCATCATATTTCCTGGACTGTTGTCAAAATGTCATGTTGTCAGTAATTTTAAGAGAAGTTAATTAACCTGGTGACACATGGTGACATGGTGACACCTTCAGTTCTTCAAAAATAATTAATTATTGAATAACCTAAAACCATTAACGTAAACATTTATTTCTGCGGTTCATCCATTACTTCATTACCTAATTAATTACAGACATAAAATATATTTAGTTCATTCAATTAACACGGTACCATGCGAATACAGTCATAAATGGTGGCATATAATCTTTACCCAAGCCTGTTGGATTTGTTGTGAAAGTGTGTGAATGATTTCCTCCTGGTTCAGTTGGTCGAAAAGTCTTTTTTGCCGAATGGTTATAATCTGGAGATAAAACGATCATTGCCAGATAATTTTGAGTTGTATAATGGGTGGTCTCTTAATGAGTGACTATGGTCGCCAGAAAAGTTTGTAGTTCCTGTATGAGTGTGCGTGGAAGGTTTTTCAATATTTATTTTCTTCGAACCTCCTGTTTCCTTTGAACTGTTAGCAAATAGAGGATTTATCTACAATCTGCTTCCACGTACCGAACAGACTGTTGCTGGATTTGTTGAGTTCATTGACGTATAAATAGAACAATGGGGTAAATCATCTCAAGAATTGTATTTAATCCATTATGAATATTGAATTTATTATATAATTTGATTTGCGTGAGTATTTAAACTGGTCTTGTTATCAATATTAACGTATTATTTTTGAAAATTGCTTTTCTAACATCTTGAAATTTTGTGATTTCAGACCAGTTTCTTCCATCACTACTGATATTTACTAAATCACACATCCTAAAGCAATGAAATACCCATCATATAATAAATTTGTAAATCTATAATTTGAGTAATTTTGGAGTGAATGAATAAACAATTCCCAATTTGATAAATCCTGTGATAAATAAATATGTTGTTATAATTACAGGATATGAATAGACCATTTCACCTGAAACGAGAACATAAACATTTGATCCATAATAAAGCTTAATGTTCATCAGCTTGAAAAATTTGTTCAAATTGACCTTGTGGTATTGAAGATGATCTATAAATTTTATCATTTTGTAGGATAAAATACATGTTGTTAATGTAATCACTTACTTGTATATCAATTTCCAAATCTGATGACATCATACTAAACATATAATAATTTTCCATCCTCACTAATGAAAATTTGATTGACTTCATAAATTAGTACCATTTATTATTAACGCATCTAATAGGATTATTTGAATATTTAAATTTAGCATCTTGATTTAAATTACATTTGAACCATTGGATACAATCGAATGAATAACAAGGGAAAAATCATCTTCAACCGTTATCATTCCATAAATTTACGTTATTTATATTCAACATATAAAATTCTTGGATTAATGATTGGCTTTCGTGTATCAGGATTCAAAAGATGGAGTAAATGATTCATAGTTTTTAAAATCATTTGTTTTAAAATAATAAAGCACTCCAGCTGTAATAAATAAATACATGGTCACTCATCGAACATATCCATTCAAAGAATCTATATCAAAAGGTTTTATCTGATGATTTCATAAAATTTAAAAATGGTGGAGTAAAATAGACCTCTGATTGTTTTTATTTCTTCATTAACAAATGATATATTAGCTTTTCTTATTAACTCACTATCCCATATTCCTTATCTGCTTTCTTATTAACTCATCGTTAACATAAGTTTTATCTGCTTTAAGGTCTAAACATCTGAACCCATCTGTATCAGTTTAGTTTTTAAAATCTTTGATGTCCATTCATGATACCTTTCAACCCTTTTTTAATTTCATTATTTTTTCATTAACATATTCCTTATCTGCCTTCTTCATTAATTCACTAGCCATAAGTCCTTATCTGCTTCTCCTCTAACTCACTAACCATATTCCTTATCTGCTTCTTCATTATGTCATTTAGGAAACCTTTTATGAATTCTCATTTAAATTAAATCTTCCAATCTTCAAAACTTTAGGAAATGCATTTAATGCGTAATATCTTTGTTCTTCTGGTGGAATTGATGTTATATCATCCGTTATTCTTTAATTTTTGAATTCATAAATAAAATTTCTTTTATATTTGATATCACTGCACCACCTTTGCAAACGAATTCGAAATGGTCATTTTTCAATACTATCTCCAAATCTCCATATTTCAACCTTTGCGTTTGTTCTGCCGTCTTTGAATTATATGCATATATGTGGCGTATGTAATGGTCTGTGCTTAAGTTGCTGTGGTTGCTGTTGTTTAATCATTTATTATGATTTAAAAATAATTTTAAAATCGTTATCTCATCACCTATTTTTTCTATTTGAAATTGCCATAATATTTCATTCATGAATTCTAAATCACAATCAAATAGGTCAGTTATTCTAAATTTAATATTTGATAAATCTTTTGAATGAAGAATAAATGAATTCCGATAATTGAAACGGATATGATAAAGAAAATGTGTTTAAGTTGATGGATAAATGTTTTGTATTGATGGGTAAGAGTTAGGGTCTAATGTTTGATGTGAAATCTCATTGGGGTATTAACTTTATCACATTTGATTAAAATGAAATTGGAACCAGTGTCAGAATACAAAACATCCCAACATCTTTTTCAAAATTTAATATCCCAACAATGAACGAAGATGAGGAGTACAAAATTTAATTTTCAGCGGGAATTTAATAAGGTTATTTATTTCATCAAGTTCAAAAAGTTTATCAGGTTTTGATTTAAAATTTTCTTCATACCATACGATAAATGATTCATTTAAATAACTTAAAATCATGTTAATATCCATTTCGTTATCACATTATTTATATACATATCATACGTTTTTTCAAGGTCATCTTTAATAAATGATATATAATCTGAAGGGTCTAAAAGAATGGGATTAAATTTACCACTCACAGAAACGAGAGTAACATTATAAATTCCGCTAACTGTTAAATTTAATTCACAGTATTATTCGAAATAATATTGATAATTGACATTTTTATTACGATTAAAAATATGGTAAAGCGTTATTTTCCAGTGATAAATAAAACTAGAATAAGATTACCTCAAGAATTCATAAATTCAACGAATAAGAATTCATTCATGTTATAAATTTTAGTGTTTTCAGAAAATATGAGTCAATGTCATATTCATCATCGGGTTATATTTCACTTCATTCAAATTTAGTTCAATCAAACCCATATAATGACCATTTCATAAGATTTTCAGATGGTATTAAAAATGTAATTGATAGATTAAAATATGAACAGATTGACAATATCGAATTTTTGGAATTTTGGTTTAAATATCCTGATGGAAAAAAGATTGAAGTTAAAGATAAAGCTGATACTATAACAAAAACAATTACAATGACGATCCAGATAGTGGGGAACAAAAAGAAATAAAACAAACGATAGAAACTGGTGAAAGGTCAATTATTATTGATTATGATTCAAAGGATTATTATTCGATAATGTTAATGCTTGAATATTAAATAGCCTTAACAAAGAATTTTTCAAGTGATATTTTATATTCATCAACTATTTTATTATAAATATCATTATAAGTTAAATGAAGTTCAGTTGTTGTTCCGTTCTTTGATATCTTAATTGTGCTAATATCTTTATAGGATTTATTTTTGCAACTGTTCCGCAGCATGAACCTCATCATCTATGAAAAATTGAATCTTAACGTCTGAATCTTGAACATCACAAAGAATGGCGATAATGTGAATTAATGATTCATAAGGTAAAATAATTAAACCGGATTGGTCAATTAAATTTATTATTGAATCATAATTATTAATTATTATATCACGGTAAATTTTCATTAATTCAGAATTAATGTCTATTTATATGGCGCATTGCGACTGTAATCGTAGATTCCTGGGTTCTCGATGTTTGATGAAAGAGGTGGGGGGTATGTTGGATAAGTGGGAATTTCAACAGGTTTTTTACCGGGTTCAGATAAAATGATTGGGTCTCCATTCTCCTCATTCTTTCGGTAAGTCACGAGTTAATAAATTTGGTTGAGTTGCTGACCTT